TGCGTCCACGTGTGTGTGTGTGTGTGTGCAGTTAGTGACAGAGGCCGAACGCTTCCAAAATTATAAACGTACATCCGGGGCAAATAAAATACTCGAGAACGAGATCCGATAAGATTAAACGCGAAAAGCCTCGCGATAAGATTAAACATCGGCCGCCGCCGCCGCCGTCTCTTAATTTTTCATTTATCGGATGATTTTTCGCTCCTTGTGTATTCGCGGGTATTCGATATATAATTTTTGCGATCGATGCGTGGATTTTTCGCGAAAAAGAAATGCAACTATCGCTACTATTACCTAACTACTACTACTATTACTACTGGTCGGCGAGGGAATGAAAAAGAACGAAGGGACCCTTGGCTTCGATTCTCTTCTATTCGTTCAATTATACATTAAATCATCGACTCCGTTATTTGAGTTATCGAGCTAACGTCCGGAATACGATTACAGATACGAGCGAGGAATATCAATCAAATTGCGCTGGACGAGCCGTCGTTTGTTTTTTTTCTTTTTTCCAATCGATAGTTTTTTTCTTTTTTTCTTTTTCCGTTCCATAGAATCAAGAGGGCAATCTAAAATCAATTTATACGTTATTATACGGTAGTAAAGTGTCGTTTAATCCTCCAGTTCGATGCTCGATGAATGTTAACCATCTTTTTAATCCTCTTCGTTATTCGCGAGCGTTATAAATGATATAATCTTACGAGTGATCTGTTTATGATTCTATTTTTTTATTTTTTTTTCTTTTTATATTTATAGATAAAAATGAATCTCGAATTTGACACTTTGAAGGAAGGAAGGAAATGTTTCGTTCGTAAAAATGGATAACCGGTGAGGCTATAGACCGATGGAAAAGGCGATCGAGATATCGACGCCAATATTATTTCCAATCGATCATTTCTCCGCATCGTGGGCCTGCACGAGTTTAGATTATCGAGATAAGCGATCTCGAGGATTGATAACCGAAAACTAAGTTTTCGTTAAAAGAAGATTGTAGAAACAATTCCTAACTAAACTAACGTCGTTCGATTCCAAAATTATTTTCCACCGTTAAGTTCTAAAAATAAAACTATCTGTCTAACTCCCAAATAGATACTACGAATCCACGAATGAAAATTTAACTCTACATACGTTATAAAAATCGAATTATCGTTAACGTTCGATAGCCTGTTCATAGTTCATAGTCTGCTTCATCCCTACTTCGTTAAAGTAATCACCAAAAATAGATGCCTATCTATCGTGGCATTTCGAGCAACCACGATATTTCACGGAAATCGCGAAAGGATGCGAGGCGACGGACCTTATCTCGACTTATCGACCGAACAGATAAGATTTCGCCTCCGAAAAACATTCAACCCAAATCCCTCGGTTAACTTCTATCGAAGAAACACGTTCCCCCCGTCGCAAATTTTCGTTTCGAGATTTATCGCGAGAAAGCTTGGTTGTTACGTCATCGAGGCGAAAAAAACATCTCCATCGAGGCGAGCCGACCGATCACGTATCGCATCGACTAATCTTATCGAGATTCGAGTTAATCTTGTTCCGTCCAAAAACGGCCATCCGTTTTACGCGTGCGAGCAAATCACCACCGCCGATGACACACGAGCCGAATGACACGAGCAACACCGGTGGACAATCTCGAAATTCGGGCAAAGTCCAGTCAAAGTCCGTTTCCACGTGGAAGAAATCACGTTTACGCAATAAACATCCCTAGAGAAAATTGAGAGAGAGAGACATCTATACTCTCATCTAGTGACAAATGAATCCAGACCCTTAAAATGTAACCTCTAACGAGTCGGTTAATGCAATTGTCGTTCCTAAGAATAACGCGTCGTGATTGTACCAACGTTCTGTCACGAATAATCTAGACGATTTGAATATGAACTAAGATGGTTGTTAATTAAAGGTTAAGTACAATCGGAATATCGAGAAAAACGCGTAATTCTAAATCGTTACGTTTCGTGCAATTTTATTGATCTGAACATAACCTCTAACAACGTCTTATTGAAGACTAGTCTCGAACAATAAAGACATTAGTCAAGGGATAGAATATCTCTAAGGAATATGTAGATGATCGATGGAACGATATAAAGAGAAAAAAAAAATAATAAATGAAAGTGAATATTCAGAGACGCGTAAAAATTTCTAGCCGTCGGATTGAAGCCTCGATCGAGCTCGTATCGAAAAAAATACCAGATAACCAGAAGAAAATTTTGCGAATGAAAAAGAACGAAAGAACAATTTCGAAGAAGATGATTTCTGAAAAACGAAAGTCACGTATGGAACACGTCCAATTTATCATAACTTGTTAATCGTATTTTCATGTTATATATATTAATCGAAACAGAAATAACAGCGATCGGTAAAAAGGATTCTACGCTATCGATTGCTTTTGTAAAGGATTCGTTCTGTAATAATTTATATATACCTGATTCGAAGATTTCCAATGAAAAAAAAAAAAAAAAAGTAACGCGCAAATTGTTACATACATTATTACCAAGAATTTCTATTACTTTGAAAATCTTATTCGTGATCTAGGTGTACCGATAATTTTATCGTTCGTAATGAAAAACAATGGCGAGTGTATCGTTATATCCTTCGCAACGACGATTAATCCATCGACGACAAAACCAATTTTCCACGTTTAAACGCGAAATTTTTTATCTAATCGCGAATAAATCGAGAAAAAAGGAACGAAAAACAAGAAAACAAAAATAGAAATAGCGAAAATGGAACGTTCCACGAACTTTATCCGTACAACATAACCTCTCTTTCTCCGTCAAAGAAAAAAACTCGTTCTCGAACTATCGTCCAACTATCCCCGATCGAAATTCACTGTTGGGTCGAAAAGAAATCGACAATAATGGGATAATTACGGGAAAATTCTATCGGGGAATCGTCGGGCAGGCATGTAAGAGGAGGCACGGCACCGTTTCGCCGACGAAAAGAATATTTATCGCGAAAGAAACGAGCGAGTCGGTTTCAATGCATCGTTGCGCTAATAAGCGGAGGCATTTCGCGGCTAATAAATGAAAACAGAAACCGGCGGCCGTTTATTATACTTGCAAATTACCAATTATAGGCCGCGCAAACTGCCACCCGATATTCTCTCCCTTCTGCGAGGGGAACACCCGCCGATTTTCCTCACCAAACCCATCGAGTTTCTCGTTCTCTTCCAGGCCGACTCGTCCTACCGCTCAACTTCTCGCTTCATTTTGCGCCGAGTAATTTAATTTTTTCTTCTTTTTTCTCGACACGTTCCACGCGTTTTAAATATATATATATATTTTTTTTAAATCATAATAATTAATGGATTAAGGTTAATCGCGCGACTCGCGTAATGGATAAAGTTTGAGAAAATCGTACGTATTATTCCATATGATGAAACCACGTTTAGTGAGGGAAAAAACAATTTCGCAAAAATATATATGAATATCCTGTTTCTTTTTTTTAAAATACATGGATTAACCGAATTAATTTTCGACGTATTTATGCGATTAAACGATATCGTTATACGATATCGATATACTTTTTATCGAGTTAAAAGTATCCTGGCAACGTATAAATGTATTTTTTTTTTTTAAACACTAACTATGGAATTAGCAAACTGTCAGATTGATTGAACTCTATTATATACGATACTTTACCGTTCGATGAACAAAAAAAAAAAAAATGTATTTCTATCGTGGAACAATTTTTCTCGATACTTCAAAAAAATCATCAGAGATTCATAAGTGAGTAGGTTCCATCTTTATCGTTCCATCGATTAAACGCCATAAAGTTACCGTATGTTTCTGAATCGCGCCTGAAACGAATAAACAACTGAATATCGATCGAACGAACTGTTCTAATCCGAGTTCGAATCCTAATTTCAAAAGAAAAAGAAATATTTTACCTCCGATTCGAATCTCCCACGCGCGTCGAACCTATTAAACAAACAAACAAACAAACATACCTGAAATCGTGATCGAAAAACAATCAAAACCGACACCCATCCCCCAAGAAAGAGGCCCACGCAACACTTTCAGCCATTCCGAATCGTCCGGAATGACGTCACCGGCCGATCGAACGAACGAACGTCCTTCGCCGAGTAATCGATGGAAAAAGAGCTTACACCTCGGGTTAGACTCTTAGACACGGCAATTTTTAAGGCCTCGTTTCTCGAGACACGGGACTCATACCTGACACTCCTCGACAACTCGTCAATTTCAAGTTTACGCGTCAATGGGTTTCACCACGGTAGTCGTGCAAGAACAAAAGGGAAATCCTCGACGAGGGGGGCTCGAGGATATACCTCTGCGAATACCTGGACCGTCGGCGCTCAGACCGTCGATCCGCGCGTCTCCTAGTTTTCACGGAGAACGAGCCGTTACGCAACCGAGCGTAACCAAGTTGTATTATTTCGCCCGTCGGGTTTCCAATTTCCCGAGGTGGAAACCCGAGTCGATCGGAAAAACTCGACTATCTCTCTCCCTCGAGAGAGAGAGAGAGAGAGAGAGAGAGAGATTCGAAGAGATTGGAAAGGATTGCGTGTGAATGAAGAACTTTTAAACTCGCCGTTTCTTCCAAGAAATTTAGATTAAACTGTTACGAATATCGGTTTTTGCGTGTCGAGGATTCGTAAGCGATGACAGGTGAGAGGTGAAAGAGGAAGAAACTTGTAATGTAACTTGTGTAATTTTTTTTGTCAATCAGTAATAGTAAATGGATTTTTTTCTTTTTTTTTTTCGGAATTTTTGCGATGAAAAGGTACGAAAGATTCGATCGCGCGAATCGAGATCGCGTTGGATCAAGATTCGATCTTATTCGATGGGGAATAGAAGCGTCGAAGATAAACGGTCGGTGACCGTCGGCGCCATCTTTCCGTTCCCCGTCTAAAAAGCGAACGACGAATTTCTTCGACCACTGTCAGAGTCAACGACCTTTCCCAATAAAAAGGAACAGATTTTGATACGAGATCCGAGACACCTGACTCTAAACCGTTCCATTTTCTAACGCGTAGAAATATCTATCTCGTATAAAAAAAGTTACGAATCCAAGGTTTTCCTGCCCGAAAGACGATATACACTTCACTCTCTACGAGGATCGGATTACCTTAATCTTACGACGCGATCTTAAAAAAATCCAATTACGAGTGGCTCTCTAAGAAAATTCCTTGTTCGAGCTCGAACAAGATACACGCTTGCTTCGCGTTTGAAAATTTCACTTCTAACCGTCCGTTCTAAAAAGTCTCTTCGAGGCGGGAATTTTTACATCACACTCGCGACCGAATAATAATAAACACTGCGCAAATAGTTTTAAACGGCGTATGGTATATAAATATCGAGGTATTGTTTAGCGGCGTAATTCTTCGTAATCGTGAATTCGATCCAAAACACGCTTACCTTAAACTGTTATCAATTCCGAGTGGCGCGATAAGTCGCCGCGCGACGTCTCGTCGCTCGAGGGCGTGTTTTCAAAATATTCTTTCAATCACTAAGTTAGCACCAAGAAGACACTGCACTGTACACACACACAGCACATCGTGACGTTCGTGGATAGTGGTACCCGCGTATAGTAAGTGGCTGGTCCCGTCTCTATCGTCGCGCGCGCGTGGTCTATCCTCCCGTGGTTTGTCCTCCTCTCTTGTCCGCGTGCCCGTCCGACAACAAACAGAGAGTCCGAGAGGCGTACGCGGTGGAGAGAAGAAAAAAAAAAAAAAAAGGAACGGAAGAACGAGCGGAAATGCGGTGCCGGGAAAATCGAGGCGAGAACACTCTCTCTCTTTTCTTCGGCCGAGAACAACCGTCGAAGATGGTTTAAAAAGGTTCGCGTGTCTCCGCGTTCCCCTGCTTTCCTTCTGCCGTCTGTTTTTCTCTCGGTCGGCTGGTTGATCCGCGTCGAGGGTGGGGAGACGAAGAGGAGAGAGAGAGAGAGAGAAAGAGAGAGAAAGATTTTTGGAAACACGCGCGTGCGCGCACGTAAACTCGAGTCGATGCGACTGTCGTGGCACCCGGCGCGGAACTAAGGCGAACGAAAACACCGGCCTCGACGTTCCCCTCGCGTTCACCGGCGTTCGTCAACGCTCGGCAAACATCGCCTCGCCTCGGCGCCGCTCGGCCACGCCCACCGACACCGGGCCAACCTACTAGCGGGCGTTTACTCGCACCCCACCATCCAACGAGACGAGAACGACCCAGCAGCGTTTCGTGTTGCTTCTCCTGTCAACACTGGCCCTCTCCCTTCTTTCTTACCGAACCCTAGCGACGCTCCTTTTTCCGCGATGCCGAGCCCCTTGTTTTTCGCTCCGAGATTTCTCTCTCTCTCTCTTCCCTCCTCTCTCTCCCTCTACTTTTTAGGACCGCTCGCTTTACACCCGAATCGAGCGTGAAAGAGAATTCGGGGATTTCGGGTTAATGCGTTCGACAAACTCGCGATTAGAGTTCATGATTCGGAGGGGCTCGCCGCTCTTCGTTTATTTATTAACACGTTCGCGGGAATGAATACACGGGCACGCGGCTTTTATTCGAGTTGCGCTCTCGGCCATTTCTCGCGCGTATATCGTCCGTCCCCACCACCGAATGGGGATGAAATTTGATCCTTAAACTCGGCGTTGTAATGCGACACTTTGTGCGGTAACACGTACGTTTCTTTCTAAACGCTTTTTCGATCCTTCTTCGTTAACTCTTCTCCTCTCTTTCGCCGAAGCGAAATTTTATACTCGGTACGAATTTAATCGTTGTTTCGACGAGTAAAATTTTTCCAATTATCGAGAAACGTACAAGCGATGCACCGACACCGACCTCTCAGCAGGCTTCTCTCGTTATCATCACGCGGAAATGAGTTTTCCAGCCGGGTTCGATCGATGGGATCGAGCAAATTTTTGAGTCAGATTACGGCTCGATAGCGTTCGTCGAAAGCGTCTATCGTGGCGGTGATCTTCGCGCGGGGCACGCGCCGTGCCCTCCCGCTTTCCTCGATCCGATCTAAATTTGGGTCGACCGATCGCGGAAGCCATCTCTTTCATCGCTACGCGCACGCACACGCTCTTACGTATACACCTGCGTGTGGAGAGGGCACGCGCTCCTCGCACACAATCGCAACAGTTGAACGATGAAATCAGCGCGCTGATCCGACGGAATTATTCAACACCTCCCTGGCTAGCGGCGGGATCTAGATAATATTCGCTCGTTCGATAAGCTCCATTTCACCGGGGTGGGGGGACATTTTTACGACACTTGGAGAGTCTTGGAATCTCCTTCAATTCCCTTTTCTTCGCGTATTTCTTTTTTTTTTTTTCCTTTTTTCTTTTTCTTTCTCTTCGAGCCAAGCGTCGATCCCGTCATCTATTTTGGATTAAACGCATCGTTTCGAATATATATATGCATTAACGTCAATTATCGAGATAAACAACTCGTTGAACGATCCAATACGGCGACGGGGAGCAAAATTTCGATCCTGTTTTCTTCAACTCGTTCTTTAAAACACGGATCGATCCAAGAAAAGTCGATGATTTTGATAAACAAGGAAGGGAAGAATCTCGGTCGAGATCTCGGTGCCAAAAATTGCTCGAGCCGGGAATATTTATAACGGGCGAATATTTATTAAAATTTTGCCCGCGTCCCATTGTAAAACACTTTCCAACGCGACACGTTAGACGGTTTTATCGTGGATCTGCGCAAATTTGTCGTGCAAATATCCCCGAGCCGGCCGGGGTTATTAATGTATTCGAGGCGGGTGGTGCCTGACGGAACGATTTGGCAGCGTCGAGCCGTAGTCGGAGTATCTGCCAATCGGTGGTGAGAACTGCATCAAATTCCCCCGGCAACGTTGAATTTTCCGCGTGCAATTTCGTTCGTCGGGCGAAACTCTCGAACAATTTTTCCGAGAGAAAGAAAAAAAATATCGATTTCGATCAGATTTTAAAAATTTCCACGAATGTGCAAACATCGAATACAACAATCGTATCAATGGAGGGGAGCGAGAGATCGGTGGGCAAACACAACGTGGGACGCGTGCTGCACGATCTTCATTCCATCCCCTATCTAGATGAGATACGATTAAGATTAAGATACCATAGCCCTTCCCCCCAAAAATCCAAAGAGTGCACCGACCGGCGTTACAAGTCGGCCCGGATCCGACAGCGCATCCGACTCACTCTTCCGCCATTTATTCTCGATATCCGCGATCGATTCTCACGGCCTCTTTCCAATTCGAACGGATCGAACGTCGAAAATCGAAAAGCCTATTTTTCTTTCTTCGAGATGGGCTAGAAACAAAGGCATAAAAGAGACGTAGATACATAAGATAGACAGACAGAGAGAGAGAGAGAGAGAGAGAGGAAGGAGTCGCGGTTCGATCCTTCCCGCGGCGGGAAGGACGCGTGTCTCTCGCTTTCGCGGCGCTTGGTGGAGCGCTTCGCGACGAGGAGGAAGAGGAGGAGAGCTTGACACGGCGGTGGGGGTAAAAGGGACGTGGACGGGTTGGCGGCGTTGCCGGGTCGCCGGTGGCTGGGTAGTAGCGACGAGGAGAGTACAACCGAACAATCTGTAGAAGCTTGTTCGGGACGAGAGAAGTCCGTAGATCAGCCAATCAGATAGGCATGCCCCCCCTCTCGCCCATTGTCACAAAATGGCGGCCCTAAATCAGCCTGACTCCGCCTATCGCGGCCCCCCACCCTCCGGCGCCTCCAGCGCCGCGTCCTGAAAAACTCCGCCTATCGATTCATTTTTACCGCTCTTGTTTCCCCTCCTCGACCCCACCCGCGCCCGCCCGAGAACAGCACCTACCTACCTCTTCTCCGCATCTCTCCTCGTAACATACGGAGGGGGGAGGAGAGATTGCCATGCATCTCGAATTTCTACCACCACGCTTCCATCCCATTCGAAAAATCGATGTCTGTAAGGGGTGAAAAGGTAGGTAAAAGGCTCTTGTGTAGCCGGATACCGTGGAGGATAATCGTGGATGAATCATTCGGGGCACGAATCATCCGGGACGAGTACGTGTATATATACGCATGTATCTCTGCTCGTGTCGTTTATGCGAGTTTTCACTTTCCATTCTCCAAATTACCTTGCCTCCTTCTCCCCCTCCCCCCGTTTCCCTATCCCCTGTTAATTGCCTCGTGAAGCGGGCCGCACGCTTGCTCATTTTCCAAAGAAGAAAACCGCCTACCGCGCTTGTTCCGTTATTCGTCCCACGTAGCTCCTTCATCCGGAATAATAAATCGGCGTCGATATCTCGGAACACTCACGTACCTCTCCCCTCCCTCGCTTGATCTACGACCGTTCCTCCAACTTTATCCCGAGGCGAGGCGAATAAAAATCGGGCGGGGGTCGAAAATCGTGGAGCACGGTCGTCAACAACAACAACAACAATAATAATAATAATAATATCAATATTAATAATTAATAAACTTACAGTCGATCGAATGTGCGAACATTCCAAGTCGTCCCTGCGATATCTTCCAACGAACCGACAGGTTTTCCGATCCGATGAATAAATCCAATTCCGAAATTTTGGAATTGAAAATTCGAGATACGCCCTCCTTCCCTGCCTATTGAAATATATCCACGAAACTCTTTCGCGTGTAAGGAGCGTAGAAGGGCAACCCGCCGATAATTTCCCGTCTCCGTACACGCGTGACCTTAAGCGTTTGTGATCGGGGCTTGCACTTTCACCGGCCGCGTGAAATTTTAACCCACCCCTGTTTATCCAGATTACCGAGGCGGGGAATAAGCGGCGCGCGAAATAATCCCTCCTCCACCCCAGGTCGGACCTCATTATCGTTAAATGTGTTCCGAAACTCGCTCGGCCGGAGGATAAAGCTCGAATCGAATTATTTGTCGGTGAGTTCGTTTTCGATCGTCCACGATTAAATCAGGCCCCTCTATTCACGCTCTATTCACTGCTGCTCTGTCTCTCCACGGAACACGGAATAATTGCGCGAACTAACGAAATTCACTCGAAAATCTTCTATATTATGCGCGCGTTTCCGCTCTTGATTGATGGATTAGAGGGGGGCCGTTTCGTTTTTCGACCATGGTAAATTTGAAATCTTTTCTTTTCTTTTCTTTTTTTTTTTTTTGTAAGGTTTATTAGGTTAATTTTTTTTTTTTTTTTCGTTTTCGCAAGAGTTTTAGAATTGTCGATTGCTTTTTGCAATTTTTAATTTTTTCGAAATCTTTTTTTTTTTAGAAAGTTTATTTCTTCGTTTTGTAATCGGTCTCGGTTTGAACGGGGTTGAATAATTTATTCGAAGATTGGAAAAATAATAACGATCTATTGCGTAGATAGAATCGTTTCTTACAATTTTTAATTTCTTCTTTTTCCGAAATCTTTTTCTTACAAAGTTCATTTCTTCGTTTTGTAATTGGACTTGGTAGGGGAAATCCTTTGAACGTTTTTACAATTTTTTTTTTTTTCTGAAATCTTTTGTAAATTTAGAAGAATCTTACGAATCTTTGGAGATCTATACTGGAATTATTGAATGTCTTTAGAATTTTTCATTCCCCCTCTCTCTTTCTCTCTCTTTTTATTCAAAGAAGATGGTTGGTTTTCGATGATGGAAAAGATAATTTCGATAATTTGTTCTATTTAGCTCCATCTATTTAGTTCTCGTCATCAGAATCGTTTACATTTAACGCTTTTGTTTCAATATCTCAGGAAAATTGTTAAAAAGCGAGGGAATTTTTGATTTGTTGATGAGTTAATTCCCCCGCCCTAATTCTTACACAAATCGAACGAATTTTTATTATTTTGTATAATGAAAGGCGGCGGAGCGATGGTCGAAAAGATAGGCGTAGTTTTTTGTTACGCAATTAATTACATATCGCAGGATAATCAAGCCTATAGTTAATATTTAACTAATTACTTTAATGGCAACGCGTGTACACGCCCTAATTTAACGGATCGAAAAGAAAAAAAAAAAGAAAAAGAGAAAAGAAACAAAGCGTAAGTTTAATTTTCATTTAAAGAATTAGCGTTTAGTTACGGTCTGGGGAACAGATACGATCCTAATCTAGAAAGATTAGGAACGCATAGATAGCCCGGTAATTGAGCAAAAAGAAAAGTCACTTCCTTTTCGAACGCTCGAGGAAATATTTTTTAATTTGTGCAAATTTTTGGGTCTCGTTGAATCGTCGTTTAAAGCGGCAGGTAAATAATAACGAATGACGCGTAGTGACGTGTCGAGCAAACGACGTTGCACGACAAATCCAATAATAAAATCATCAAAGAGAAATTCTTTCGCTAATGAACTATTGAACGAGGAACGGAAAGAGATCCTCCATAAAGGAAGAAGAAGCACCAAGGTTTCCAGAGTCTCGTTTGTCCGAGGATGGCCAGGTAAAGAGAAATTTTCCATTTATTACTCCACGCCGCCATTCCTCGACCTTGCCGGCAATTCGTCCGCTTATCTGCCACGCTAAAAGTATGATGGAGACGCTTTCAATAGCTAATTTGGGGAAAACGTCAAAGAATTCCACGTGTAATAACGACCTATACCCTAATCGCCATCCCATCCGATGATTCACCAACTCTCTCCATTAACAATCCCTCCCATCAGCGAAATTTAAGTAGGTAACCTGTGCTCGACGACCATTTTCAAAACAAAATCTTCCGAGAAAAATCTTGCCAAAGATTACTTTTGTATACAGATCGAACGAACAAGGGATCCACTCTTTCTTAGC